TACTAGGAGCTGACTTGATATCCTACCTAGACCTTTTGCTTCAACAATCTTTGTTGAACATGATCTGCAAAGAAATTAGCTCACCTTAAACATCTCATGCAAAGTTGCCTGGTTTGTCCTTAGCATGTTGAGTAACTGAAACTTTGGACCGGCTGGTAACTCATTGTTTTGGATGATATTCCTATTTTCTCAACATATGCAGAAGGTACACAAAGAGTTTTTCCTGTCCGTGTGGTGACAGCTATCCTCACAAAACACCTGAAAATTTCCCAGCTGGTGTCCAGCCACCCGCAGGTTAAAAATGGCATTGCCATAGATCTCCATGCCTGTTTAAGCAAGGTCCCTCAGCTACTGCCACATCATGGTCCCATATAACCTAAATTATTCTGGGTCTACAGAGAGTATATTCACTTTGCTCTCCTTGAAGATTTCTAGGGCTTCTAGGCACTGTGCTTTCCTTTACCCGTAACACAGTGACATAACCCCATAGCAGAAGGAACTACTGGTTCTGCCCAATGAAAAGTCCATTTCCCTTGCAGGTTCAGTTCATGTTTCCTGCAGTGATGCTCAAACCACAAACAAGGGAGATCACATCTTCCAGATATATTTTAGCTCTTAAGACATTACAGATCTTAAACATGAGTAAATTTGGCTCCTTTCCAACCCTGATTCTGTACATGATTCTATGATATACTTGACTTAAGGGTGAAAGAAGCAGGCTCTTTGTAAATTCCAGTCTGAAAGAGCACTTTGGCTGCTACAGATACAGCAATTTCTGGTACTTAGTCTGAAAAATTCTGCCAATTCAATTCAGAAATGTCATCAAAGGAACTGTAATTATTTTTCCAGACAAACCACTCATGCTTCAGGATGATTTGTGAATAGCTGCAAAAAATAGAACCCACTGTCTTTCTGCTTTCAATCTATTCTTTTTTCCCTATTTATAATTTTTTTCTTTATTTGACTTTCTCTCTTTTCCAGGTTTGACCAGTTCTCTGGGCAGTTATTAGTTCCCAGTTAAATACTACAAATTTGATAGTGTGTACATAACATTAGAATGCATGGTATATTATAAACATCAGCTAGAATGTTCTCCTTTTCCCTGTTTCTATCATCCCATTAAGAGAATTTGAGATTTAAGACATGAGAGATTGTTCACTGAAAAAAGATGCAGCTGCATCCTAGAATATAGTCCAAGTTAGCTGAACTACTTCTAGTATGTACTGGCAAACTACAATACAGCATTATTATGATTCTCACATCATATCACAACATATTCTGGATGCAGATAAAGAATATGTCACAATAAATTCAAACTACTTGCTTTTGGAGAAGAAGCCATGTTTCTTGAACTTTTATGAAATATCACTTTGTATAGTTAATTTCTGAAGACATAAATTAATGAATCTTCCTGTATTTATTTGGTTCACACTGAGCTTATGTTCCCCAGTATCACAGAAACTGGTTGCAAGTTCAGCAAAATTAAGTGCTTAATTTTCTTTGGCATTCTTTCAGTACCATAAATGACATGCTTACAGTGTTCCCTTTTCAGTTTCTGGGGATACTGGCATGGCCAAGGTTAATCCAAAAACTTAAGTTCAAGGATAGAGTTTTAGAAAGGGGGATTTAAGATACTGTGGTGGTGCTGACTGCAGCTCTTGCCTCACTGTTAAGAAAGCAATCTCCTGCTGGATAGCAAGAGGCATTGGGCATGGCCTTAAGTCTAGGAGTAGATACGGGAATAGACTTTCTGAAAAATAGAGCAGAAAGCACCCATTCTCATGGTACAGAAATGTCACAAAAGAGCAAAGGCCCAGAACCACTTTTGTAGTTTCTGGCTTAAGGCAAGTATGCAAAACCAAAGCTAAGATGGAGAAAAAGGATGTAGGAGAAACACAGAGCAGCTCACAATCTTCCTACTAGTATTACATTGTAGAAGGCTGTGGAGATCTTTAAATGTGATATAGCAAACTAGTACAATGGTATGTTGACTGTAGTCTCCTCCAATTAGCAGAATTTCTGTGATTATACTTTGACAACTAGTTATTGCTCAAGGAGAAATTAAAATAACTACATAAAGAATATAGCATCAAGTCTTAATCTTCAAATTCCTGTTCCTTAGGAAAGATTCCTGAATCTTGCCTGCATTTACAAACACTGAACAAGACTGAAAAAACAGTGCAAAGAACACTGCAGTAATCTCAGAGGAAGAGAAAAAAGCCAAAGTGGATGGATTCTTTTTAACAGGGCAAACTAGAAAAAGAGAATGATTCAAAGCTGTACAGGGACTGAAAGCAGCAAAGGCAAGCTGAATACACATTTTTTAGCTACGTTTACAGCAAGAAGTCCTTCAATGCCTTTGAGAATGACAGTGGAGTTACAGAGAAGGTACATGAAAGTTTCTTCTTACTGTCGTGATACACTTGCATGTGGAAACAGTACTTCCAGTTCTAGTTCAAAGAGCTAACTGCAAAAGACAAAATACTGGAGGGAATAAAATCTGGGAAAATTGTGAAACCGAGAGCACAATAAATGGCATTAATGTACAGAAACAGACATTACAACTTAACTTTCAAGAAATCTTTTGATCAGTATCCGGACACATTGCTTTAATCCAAAACATTAAGACATTTAAAGCCAGATGGGAAAAACTTCTGCAAATAGGAACACTATTACCTCAATGCATTACTTAATGTCTTTCTTCCTCCTTAAATCTACAGCCAGACAAATACATACTGGTTAACATATCAACCTTTAACCCCTGAACAATGTTAAATAGCAGCCAGCTACGCTAGATATCTCAGCTGTAGAAAACTCTCCTTGGGAAATTCTGTTCATCTGGCTGGTTTCTGATGTTCATTACTAATCAATCTTGATACAATAGAGAATTTCCAGAGGACTGGAAAAAACTACTGTGTCAGTATTTCAAATTATTAATTAGGATAATTCTAAGTCAGAGGGAAAATAATGAAAAAGTTGGTAATGAAACATGTAAATATGACTAATACTGATATCAATTTCTAGAAAAGACAGTTTGTCAAGTGTATTTGCTTAAATGACACCATAAATTGGCAGGTAATGGTAAAAGTTTGGATTGATATTCTGAGGCTTTTATAAGGTGTTTTGATTTATAAACCAGAATGACATATAATCATTATGGTTCTCTCTAAAAGGATTAAAGACTAGCCAGGAGTTAGATCTCAGAATACCTCAGCGACAGGGAATTATCACTGGTCAGCTGTGTTCTGAGAGAAGCCCCTGCAAGAACTGGTTCTTGATTTTTTATTTTTTTTTTAATAATTATCCCCCCCCTTAGATCAGGATTACCTGAATCATGTTTTAACCAAAGGCTGTCCTAGAGTTCTTGCAACCCAGGAGGCAAGCCTAGACACTAACAAAACCCTAGCTGGCTCATTTAAGAGCACAGGGTAGGATACACGAAGACTTAGCATGAGTCCAGAGCTATAATACTGAACCCTCCTGTTGGTTATTGCTTCAAACTGAAGGCACCTAAATTTGGTAGATTCCCCAATTTTCACTTAAGCATTTCACAAGCACCCTACATTTACTTAGGCAGGTACCTAGAAAAGCCTCAATCTTGACTCTGAAGCACCACTGTTTGCCAATATTTGTTTATTTGCAGCTTTCATGGTGTGCCCAATGCACAGCAATCAGGCTTACCTCCTTCCTCTGCTTTTTGAATCTTAAATCCTCTTTACAGAAAGTCATTCCGCAACAGGAGTAGCCTGACAGCCCTCTTCAGAGCACCAGGAACATGTGTTTGAGATGTTCTCTGTGGGAGATGTGGGTCTGATTACCCTCGGACAGAGTAAGTAATTCAATCTGGGCCTACTGCATCTTAAATCACTAGACTATTATATAAGTGGACTGGTATTAGCTCTGATCCTTCTCCTTTGCTATTTCAAAAGAAGGAGGTATTTCTGCTCCGTATAAGCGGAAAACATCAGGTCAGCAGAATTCTGCCTTTAACCTTTCCTGCAGCTCCAAGTTGAAGCATAAGCTGTATAAAGAGCAAGGTCTAATATTCAGCCCCACCCTTAAAGAGCAGCTTGCTTAGTGTATGTTTCATTCTGAACCCTGTTCTGAGGCCCTACTTCACCCCACATGGTGGGAACTGATCGTACCATATTTAGAGTATCAGATTCTTCTGCAGGGCCTACATAAATCTTTATCTACCAATAAAGCAATAGCTGTCAAGAATAAAAAATGAAGACTAAAACTTGTGTTTAAAATCCATTTAAAATCCGTTTCTCCCCATCCTGTTCCAGTCTCCCTGCCAAAAGGTCTCTTCTCTGATCAGACTCAGGAGCAGCTTATTTTCTTTATTCATAGTATAGGGACATGTGACTAACACAGATACTGTTTTTTCCAGACTGCTTCGGCAGAGATTAATCATTACATAATGCTTTGTGTTGGGAGGCAATGGAGGACATAGTCTGGAAATGCAATAAACTGGCAAAAAAAATTGGTGTGATTGTCAGGAGTATGGCAGTAACTGAACACTCAGTATATGCCACTAAATGAGAAGCAAGCCATAAAAGATCTCAGAAGTGAATTTAGAGAGTCATCTTACTCACTAGAAAAATTATAACCAACAGGGAAGATAAGGCAAAGAGAAGGAAGGTCTAAAATCCTTTAATAAACTATTTATTAAAGCTGGTAAAGATAGTTTATTCTGAGTTACATAAATTTAAATAGGTACCTTTAAAAACTTTTTAGCTATGTAAATTTAATGGACAATTATAAAGAACATCTTAGCTGGAATAATATAAATGAGATTTTCATGGATGAATCAGAGTATAAACATTTTGAGACATATTCTCCACGCTTATAAAAATATCCTCTCAAAGTAAAATGGCTTGTTAAGTAATTAAGTATTTAAAAGCTGAGTAAGAAGTTAAGAATTAAAAGCAGACTTCTGGAGTAAAAACATCAACTTTAAACACAGGATGTGTTTCATGGTTTTGGTTGAGGGTGGGTTTTTTTGTGAAAAACAAGTAAAAAGAAACTATTAACTTATGCACAAATAACCAAGAGTTTATCTGCAAGTCCTTTAAGGTTTTCTTCTTCTGACATGAAGACATTTAGAAATAGAAGGCAAAGTAGGTCCTCAGCTGCAACTTGCAACCTGTGCTCTACCTGCCAATCTAGATCCTTCTTTTCACCGTCTTTCTGCACAGATGAGGTATGGCTGTGGTTGTAATGTCATGCCTAATCTGGGTTTGAGATCTGGAATCACGCCATGAGGAAAACACAGGTGAAATCGTTGCAGTAATGAAGTGAAAAACAGAAACATTTCCATTCGAGCTAGTTGTTCTCCAAGGCAATGTCTTCTTCCTGGATTGAAAAGACAGTTTTAGGAAGACTTAAAATGTCTTTTCACTCTTTTTCATTTTCACTATTATGAATAAGAATGGTCATTTCTGTGTTCTAAGAGGAGCCATATAAACTTTGCAGTATTCTGTAAGAGAGGATTGGTGATAATTTACAGCAAGAAACCAATTTGTTCCTCTCACTACACAAACTCTGTCAAATTTATTCTGATAAACTATTAGCTACTTTATCTTGTCTTGAAGTTGCAATCTAGATAGAAGATGTTTTGAAAAACGATTCTGTGAATTTCAGCCTTTGTCCCCTACTAATTTGTTAATTGCATCTATTGTCAGTCATTATTACCTGGCAATAATTATAACTTGGGAAGTAGAAAGACATGAAACAGGTCTGGATAATGCCTTTAAGTATTAGTTCCCATTCTATGTATAACTAGTTACAGGGAATAAAAGTGGAAGACACAGATGAATGGGTAACAACATCTGGAACTGGTAAGGTCAAACAGGCAAAAAGAAACAATACACAATAGACTTCATCAAATCTAACTTTGGCCATTTAGATGTTGTGCATCTATTCCAAGGGAATTGTTTTGTCCTGTCTCCTATTTTTAGAGAAAGAGTATCCCAGATCAGTAAACTAAGTCACTCTCTACACAAGGCTATGGTCTGCAGAGGTAGCCCTGGCAGTTAGCTTATACAGATGTCATGATTTAACCCCAGCCAGCAACTAAGTGCCACACCAACCATCCCTGAGTAGTGACCGGTAGCTTCTGGCCACCTCCCCCCAGTTTATATACTGAGTATGACATTCCATGGTATGGAATATTTGGTTAGCTGTCCTGGCTGTGCTCCCTCCCAGCTCCTTATGCACCTCCTCACTAGAAGACTATGAGAGATTGAAGAGTCATCAACTTAGAGTAAGCACTACACAGCAACAACTAAAACATCAGTGTATTATCAACATTATTCTCAGACTAAATCCAAACCACAGTACTGTACCAGCTACTAGGAAGAAAATAAAACTCCAACCCAGCCAAAACCAGAACAACAAAACTAATTTTTCAGATTGGTAATCATATGTGAGGTAAATTACTCACTTTTATAGGCATCAAAAGACAAATCTATAATGATTTAGGACTGTCAAGAGTATTTCCTTAGGGCAGAATGAAGTGCCACATGCTGACCCCCAAGCTAGTTCTGCATCAAGTCTGCAGTTTCTGGTGCTGATCTGAATGCTGAAATTTGAAAGCTGGTTGTTTAAATTACCTGTATTTAATGACTTTAGCAGCATATTACTATTAATTGTGAAACAAGTAACACTTATGTGCTGCAATGATATAAAATGTCTGGATTCCTCAGAAGATACTGTGTTGTCTTTTTTGTTAGTTTATATATAATAATGAGCTCATCTATATAAAATATATTATGCTAAAATGTATTATGTCCAGAGTGTGTTATATTGAATATCTTTAAAATAGCTGCTTCATCAGAACTGTAGAAATTTTATATCATTCTGTCCATTCCTGATTTATTGCTGTGACTTCTATGTTATACATCTTCAGGTTTCTGAAAAGGAGCAGTGGGAGGAATCACTCACCTAGTGAAAAAGGAATAAATGCATCTTTCTTGACAAACTGCCCATTGCTGTCCAGAAATCTCTCAGGAAAAAACACTTCTGGATTGCTCCAGTATTTTTCATCAAAATGAACAGAGTAGAGGTTTGTAATGACTGTAGTGCCTTCAGGAATAGAGTAACCACGCACAACAGTATCTTTGGAAGTTGCGTGAAAAATACCTAGTGGAACTATATTACAGAACCTTAGAACTTCATGTAGAACAGCCTCAGTGTATGGCATTTTGCTTTTCTCTTCTAAGGCAGGCATTTTGCTTGGGCCGATGACTAATTCAATTTCTTTTTGAACTTGCCCTGTTAGGAACAGGAATAAAAGTTGATGCTTATTATGTAATGTCCTTTAATTTTTTAATTTAAGCTATAAAATATATACTTCTTAAAGGATGCTGAAACATGAACTACCTTATATAA